TCTGTTATCGTGGTTTTTGTTATTTCAGACGTGTACAGAAATAGCAATAATAACATGTGATATGGGTGGGGATACTGATTTCTTTATCAATAACTGCGATGTTACTGAAGCCCTGGTCAATTCTACAATACACAATTGCGTGAAGACATTTGGCGAGGAAGCTACATCCAGTATTGGTTATGTTCCGGAACTATATCATCTTGATGGCGTACCGATACGTTATGGAACTACGTACGATGCTGCAAGCAATATTATTTTCACGTAAGTTCTGCGCGCACTTGCAATAAGCTAGCGTGAGACTTAAAATTGTTGATGTTCTGGAGCGTAAAATACTTTGATACTCGCACTTTGATGATCATCTTTTGTTTCATTATCGCGTTTCTTATTGCCATTGATGTACAACTGACAACTTCTCCATTCTTCTCTGTTTTGAACTTCTCTCGGCCGTTCAAGCGGATCCTTCCACCACACTGGGCGGTTTTCGCTAATGTTTTTTAAAAGTGCAAATGGATGGGTACGAAAAAATCATTTGTGAAGTGAGACTGCAATTTGCAATTTGTTATTTAATTTTTACTTGGCTTAAATTCTTTGTTCGTTTTAATTTTAGAAACGGCAATTTGGATCCATGGTCAGGTGGTGGTGTCTATGAAGATTCACCGGGAATCAAACAAGCAATGAAAAATGGGGTTTATACTTTCAACATCAAAGATGCGGCTCACCACCTTGATCTGCGAACACCTAATTCGTGCGATCCACCATCGGTCACCAGCGCCCGCTCCCAGGTACCAAATTTTCCAGTGTATACTTGACTGTTGCAATTTGTAACGTGACGTTACAGCTGTGCTTTCTTGGGAAACTTTCCCGATGCTACATTGCCTACAAATCAGGCTATTTTGCTGCCGATCGTGGGATTCGTTCCATCTGCTTTATGGATTTTTAAACTTCTATATCAAGTCCTCTGAAGGACAGAAACAGCTGTCTAATAACAAATAAAACAGTTATGAAGAGCACTTACAGAGAATTTATAAAAATCTGTTTGCACCGACATTCCAGCACTTAAATTCACGCCAACATGCAGCAGATCCCTCCAGTACTTGTCAGAGAGACAAGACGCGCAGCGCTCT